ATGGTGCAGGATACTGCAAGCATCTTGAAAGCACTGGAATTGCCTGACATGCTGGGCAATGAATCATGAATGTCAGAACACAAAGATCCCAGAGTTCTTGCACAAATGAAGGCTTTACACTGACAAATACATTCCACCTATACTAATTCTCTGGACAGCACAAAAGCCTGGACTTGCTCAGGGGAGCTGCCCAAGGGATATGATGATTTCCAATTCAGCAAACTTGCACAACTTTTTCACACTGCACGATTTTACATGAGGTTTCAAAGTGCAAAATTAAAAGTCAACTAAAACACTTTGAGCAAAGAAAAGTAATGTTAGCTTAGTATATAGAAAGGTTAGGAAAATACTCTATGAACATCATACTTTTTTAAAAAATTCCTCTTTTCCTTATTGACTAGAAATGTTGTTCTGAATCATCATGGCTCAGAGTCCTTACAGCAATGATATATAGCCAGGTGGGAATTTGTCCAGCAGACTTTTCTCAGCAAACACAGCAGTGGATTGGCTCTAGCAGCTTTAGAAGAAAATCTCCTTTTTTAACACTAGCCCTTAACTTTGTGTATGTTCAATGATTTATGATCTTAAAATGGTTATGTATTTAAACGCCCGCCAACTCCCCTTCAAATGCCTCTCAGTAAACACTTCTCCTTACCCACAAACAGACCAAACGAAACCAGAATCCTCACTGTCAGTGATTAGAAGTTCAGTTAAACTTTATATACAAATGGATGAGTTCTTTATTGCATCTACCTGAAAATCCACTCAAGAGCAAGATATCTTTTTTTATTCTTCACTTTTTTCTCCGACAGCACTTGTAACAAACTAGGTCTTTAGCTGAAAACAAAATAACCAGCCTGAATTAAAATTCTGCATTAAAACCTACCCCACCCAATCCAGGACATGTCCCCACTCATTTCTATTTTGGTTTATAACATGTGGAAATGGTTCTGACCTCCTCAACTGCACTTACGAACAATACACGCATTTGCTTTCCTGAACTTTCGTCAGAGTAAAGAACAGCTGGATTCACTTTCAGTTAACATCATCCTCCAAACATTTTTGGTTTCTTCTTGCATGCTCAGTAAATCTCAAACCAGCTCTATTCAGAGCTTCAAAATAAGCTGTGACCATGGCCATCATTTAAGGTCATAACCCAATAAAAAAGAATGTGCCTGGCAGCAAACTGCAAGTGTTAAATACAATTTTAAAGGTACCAAGACGAGTGGTTCAGTGCTCTTAGATGGCAAGTGATATTTCTGTAGGCTCTTATTAGAAAGTTCTGCTAGAAATTGCATGAGAAAAATAGTTTTAGAAGATTTTTAAAGAATTCCTTGCTTCCCTTTTCCATTCAATTTACCTTGCTAAATGGAAATGAGGAAAATATGGAGATTTTTTTAATCAAATTCACATAACAATATACCCTGCTAAAGACCTGGCTGAGTATAGCAAGCAGACAATCTGCACTATTAAAGCAATACTTTTTCACCATGAAATGCCAATAAAAAAGCATCATGTGAGATACAGAAAACAAGAGTGAAATCTGCAGCAAGCCAAATATCCTACAACTGAGTAACTCAGTCTTATCAAGATATACTTTCTGCAGTCTTGCTGAATTCCCTTCTATTTCCCCCCCATCCAGCTTCCCTTATCCATCAAAAGGACTAGAGTCCAGGAAGAACCCTGCTATACATATCCACAGGCTTCAAGAACCACAAAGTTCATACAAAAATAAATACCATGCTTATTCTTACTGCAACAGTTTCCTACACGGTGTCTTCTAAAGAGCATTCCTCGATTTTATAAACAACTAGAAACAGGATTTTCAGATCCTTATCAGTTTATATGACATTTTCAAAGTGACTCTGCAGTTACCTTGAGCCAGAGAAGGTTTCATCTGCATTTTCTTTTGAATGAACAGCTGTGAGTGCCATGCGACTAATCTTTTCTTTTTTCTTCTTCTAGCTGAGCTCTCCTTACTCAACAGACTGAAGTGCACATAATGGGAAAAAAAAAATCAGTAATTGTGTGAACACTGGATGGGTTAAAGAAGTCATCATTTTTTTTGCCTGTCACCTCAAAAGTCAGCTTTTCTAGAAACCATTACATTCTTCTTAGGCGTCTTTCAACAACACCTAAACAAGGAATTTTCTCCCTAGGGATTCAAACAGCCTTTTGCAAGTCAGATTTGCTGTTGTCACTGAAAAAAGACCAAATCCTTTCTGGCTTGGGCATCATTTGACTTCAGTGGGGTCCCAGCAGAGATAAATTTTACTTGCTAATTTAACTAATTTCCATAGAATTGCTGTAAATATGAGAGCATAAAAACAAAATGTTTTGCTTCTGAAGACAGCATATAAAGATAATGAAAGACATTAATGTGTTTGGAGAAATTAGGATTTATGATGTTAAATACTTTCTGCTTATTCATAATCTTATACACCACTGATTCAGATACTATTTCAAAGCAAAGATTCTTGTTCCCCTGACTTTGAATGTTCCAGAGGTATCTGGGGATTGTTCTTCTCCAAAGATCATCTGCCTTCAACATAGATTTTTATCTGACACCACAGCAGAAGTTGTGGAAGGCAGGTAGGCAAGGCTGGGGAGAGAAGGGAGTTCCAGAAAGGAAGCAGACATAAAACTTGTGGTGTTAAAAAGGCTGTCTCCATTTCTCCTCTTAAAAAGGCTGTCTCCATTTCTCCCCTGGAAGAGAGAGTTAGTAAAACTTCCCCTCTCACAAAATAGATGCAGAAGTAAATCTGTTTGGGCAAGAGGCACTCAGATACCCCAGCAAGTACTGTCAGAAAGTCTACAAATAAAAAAAACCCAATCTGACACAGTTTGGATGCTAACTGGTCAATTGCAACAGGGAAGCAATTTTAAAAAACAGTTACTGAAGAGCTGCAGCATTTGCTGACCACCTGGAAACTTGTGCTGCATGACAGGATATTACATGCCTGTCACAGGCTCACTTAATAAGCAGGACAACGAGTTTTTGTAAAAACAGTAAATTGCACTCTTTAAATATTCTTTTTTTTTCTTCCAGATGTGTTTACTGCTTAGTTTGGGTTGTTTGGTTTTGTTGTTTTGGTTTTATTTCCCCCAGTGTTATCCCTAAAATCTCTGTTAATAGAATAATAAACAGGCAACTCCAAGGGCACTGTATTTCACAAATGCAGGCTCAATCAAAAAGCAAGCTTTGCCCACAGAACACACAGTTAGTGTATACAAAGCTCTTAAAACACAAAGCCTTGAACATTTGCACCTTACAGCTTTCTCAAGCAGGTATAAATGAGACTACTGTGATGAAAACAGAACCTCCTTGGATCAGTAAGACATAGATTTTACTTTCATTTCTCCTTTCACCCATGCTATTTAGGTTAGTTGAAAGTGAGTGAGTGGAAACAAAGTAATGAGATATTTTTGTGATACATGGAAGTAAATTTCAAAGAAACAAGCGTTTCTCTGTTCATTACACTGAGTGATTCAAAGCAGGCTGCACATAAGCAAGCATCACGTATAAAATAAAAAACAAGAGCAATTCTGTATATAGCTTGGTAATGTCTGTAATTTATATAACCAGCATAAATAAAATCAGGTTTTGGCTTCAAGCTGCATACCCGGACTCTGTGGATTTTTTCCAAGGCACAACAAAAACAGTCTTGCTGCCTTTGGTTGACCTTAAACTGAGCTACAGACAGTAACACAGAATTCTAAAGCAGGAAATATGACCTCCCTGAGATCAGCTGTTGCAGGCATTTTCATTCTAATCTTAATGCAAACAAAATGGGGGATGCCTTTTATTGTTGACCACCTCAAGCTCATGAGAAGTACTGTAAGACAAGATCAGACATGGCATGAGAACCAGTCTCCTTTTTCCTTCTTCCCTGCTCTCCATGCAAGGCAACCCTTCAAGACTCCCAAGTATTAATTTCAGTCCAATATAACTGGAGTTTCTGAACAGCACCATGGATCAGGTTTTGGCATGACAGTTCCTGCTATTGCTTCTGAACAGATTTTTTTGCATAGGGTAGACTTAATGTTTTGTTGAAAAGATCTGCCTTGAGATCATTTCACTGCTTTAAAGAAACACTAGAATGATTTATCTGTAGGATGAATACATACAGCCCAACCCTTCTTCCATTAGAAAAGTGAGAATTTTGTCCTTGTGCCATGTTGAATAACACAGGTCTCCAGTGAAATGATGGTGGGAGGAAAAACACAAAAATGTGGTGCCGAGACACTACCAGAAAAAAAAATTTGCTTTTAAGTAGTTCTACTAACTGTGCTTGTTTTTGCTGTGTTTTGCAATGGCAAAGTAAAAAAAAAAAAAAAAGCGATTGTTTTGTGCTTTGTCTTTGTGTGACGCTGTAACGATCCTATTTAAAAAAAACACAAAACCTGTCAGTTACCTTCTTCCTTAGCTTTTATTCATAGCCATATTTATAGATCTACTGCTCCCTAGTATTTCACACCACGACGTTTACCAAAGAGACCTCCTATTTTATTTTTTAACGAAGTAAGACCTGCCTCCTCCACCTGAGGAGAGAGGGGGCACAGACTACCCTGGAGACCCGCAGCAAAGCCTGGACTTCAACATCCCGCTCTTTGTCGGCTTCAAGCACCAGACAAAACCCAAAAAGGCTACGCTGCACAAAGAGAAAGCGGGAAGGGAAGGGAAGCCGCAGCAGTTTAAGGGCGCCGGGGCAGGCGAGGCGGGCTGCCGTGGCCGGGCCAGGAGCCGGGGCAGCCCCCCCGACCCCCGCTGCCCTCAGGGCCCCGCGCTGGTTTCGCTTTCGCCTTCGCCGCCTTTCCCAGAAGTCACGTGACGCGGCCTCTGCCCGGGAACGCCCCCGGCCCGCCCCCCCGCACGCGCACTGGGGCGGGCGCGCGGCTCCCCGAGCGCAGCCGGCACCGTGACAGCGCCGAGCCGGAGCCCAGGTGAGGAGAGGGGAGCGGGCGTGAGGGGCCGGGAGATGGCGATGCCGCTGCCCGCGCCTCGGGGGCTGGCGGGGTGAGCGCTCGGTGTAACGAAAGCTGTCGCTTCCTCAGACCGCTCCCTGCCCGCGGGACACCCACCGAGCTTTGCGCTTTGGTGTCCTTGCACCTGGGGAAACAGGAGGTGGCTCCTTCATTCCTGGCAGGGACACCCCCGCTCCTCTGTCGCATCCGCTCTCAACTCCTCGCTCTCCACAGCTCACCCTCTCCAGACCTGCCCTGCCCGGCAGCGTTCGAAGCGGACCCCTGTGCCCAGCCCGGCTGACGCTGATCCCGCGCCTCCAGCACCGCTGGGCAGCCTCTGCTGAACAGGTGCGCCGCTCCCTCTCTCTCTCTCTCCCTCACACCCGGGGCTGGGCTGGGCCGGCCGGGAGCGCGGGGAACGCGGGCACGGAGCCGGCCCAGCGCTGGGACGGCTGCCCGCGCCCTTTGCTCCCGAATCCCGCCGCGTGGATCGGCGGCGATTCCCGGCAATGGCAGGAAAGGAGGTAGAGGAGGGCCAGGAAGGAGCCCTGGGGTGCATTGGCTGGCCAGCAGGTCGAGAGGGGTGATCAGCTGCCTCTGCTCAGCCCTAGTGCGGCACATCTGGAGCGCTGTGTCCAGGTACAAAAACACCAGGAGCTGCTGGAGAGGGTTCAGCAGAGCTCACAAAGATGATGAGGGATCTGGAGCACTCTCCTACAAGGAGAGATTGCAGGAGCTGGACCAGTTTAGTGTGGAGTAGAGAAGACTGAGAGGGGATCTCATCATTACATATAAATAACTCTAAGGCAGCTGCCAAGAGGATGGTGCCAGAATCTTTTCAGTGGTGCCCAGCTACAGGATGAGAAGCAGTGGCCACAAAGCAAAACACAACAAGTTCCACCTCAACATGAGGAAGAACTTTACACTGAGGGTGCCAGAGCACTGGAACAGGTTGCCCAGGGAGGTTGTGGAGTCTCCCTCTTTGGGACTGCTGTAGCACACTCAAATGTTGTGTTAGCTGTAATCTGACAAGCACACATCAAAAGCCTCCAAGCCCTCACTTTAAACATAACAGTTTTAACTCCTTTGCTTCTCACACCTAGCACACACCACTCAGCAGCCGAGGACACTGGCATATAAAAGCGAAAGGATTTGGTAGGAAGGGGCATAGAAGATAGTACTTCACCCTGATGCTGCCCTGTTCTTTTGGATGGGTCTTATAAGCAGCCATTAAAAAACAATGGTGTGAGTGGATTTGCATCTCACCACTCATTCTCAGCCTGGACTGTTCCTTGGATGTATTTTTACATGCCATTTCCATTACAAGCTGATAACATGCACCTTAGAAGGCTAAGTGATCTGCTTCTAGAGACCATACATCAGAGCTGGAGCCAATCTCACAAAAGTGTTAGGACTGAGAGAAGCCGTTCTGCACAGTCTTAGTTCATTTAAACACCCTGTGTTTGCTGCACAGGTTACTTGAATTTAGCCTGAAACTATGATCATGAGAACTAAAACACATATAAAAAAACATCTTTCCAGTACTTCTCCATTTAAAGTCACTTGAGATGTAGTGAATTTTCAGAGCAGGAAAGTGTGGACACAAACAGCAACTGAAAATGGGCACTTAGAGGGGTCTCTATTTTTTCACTCACACTCTTGATGCTGGGGAATACATCTGCACAAGCAAAAGGTGATACTCCATGTTCAGGATCTCAATTGTGCAGAGTACAGGTATCAAACACACAGGTCCTCATTCCCATATCTGCTAAACAAGAGAGCAATAACACTAGCAGTACACTAAGTGCAATGAAAATGGGTTTGGAGGAAGAGAAAAGGAAGAAAGCACCACACAGCCACTCACTCACTTCCCCTCCTCCCTGCAAGGTGGGATGGGGAGAGAATCAGAAAGGTAAAAATGGGGCACATTATGGGCTGAGATAAAGACAGTTTAACAGGTAAAGCAAAAGCCATGTACACAAGAAAGCAAAAGGCAGGAGTTCAGCCATCCCAGGAAAGCCAGGCTCCATCACACCTAACAGTGGCTTGGGGAGACAAACACCATCATGCCAAATGTCCCCTTTTCCTCCTTCCCCCAGCTCTACGAGCTTGGTGCCACACGGTCTGGAATGTCCCTTGGGTCAGCTGCCCAGCTGTGTCCCCTCCCAGCTCCTTGTGCACCCCCAGCCTCCTCACTGGTGGGGTGGGGAGCAAAAAGGGCCTTGATGCTGTGTAAGCCCTGCTCAGCTCTAACAAAAACATCCCTGCCTTACCAGCACTGTGTCCTACACAAATCCAAACCAGCCCATACTAACTACTGTGAGCAAAATAAACTTTATCCCAGCCAAAGTCAGCACATCCTCCAATTTTGTCAATGTTCATGAAAAGGTCAAATTAGTTATTTTTCACCACGTCAGTCCAAAAACTACTAAACATTTACACTGACTTTTTTTCACCCCTTCCTCAGAATGTCTCAGTGGTATCAGCTACAGCAACTTGATTCCAAGTTTTTGGAGCAAGTCCACCAGCTATATGATGACAGCTTTCCTATGGAGATCAGGCAGTACCTGGCACAGTGGCTGGAAAACCAGGATTGGTAAGCCCAGGAATTAATTCAGCTTTGGGTTGTGTGATAAGCAGTGCCCTCAGAAGGGCAGTTACAAGCAGCAGCAGAATGCTGGGGAAGCAAGCAAGCTGCTGAGTGATCCTTTGCTGGTAGGATGCTTCAGTAGCTGTGGGGTGCTCCAGCCTGTGTTCCTGCCCCTCTTCAGGGCTTTCTGGAGGGAACTGATATCTGGAGTAAGCATCCTTGCTCATAATGTTCTCAGTGGTCCAGAGCAAAAGGGGCTGTTTTCAGACCAATTATTACTACCTTGGTAGCATCAGTCTCTCACTCTTCAAAGACTCTGAACTTCTGCCAGACTTTCTGTAAAGTGGCTTCTCTTTGAGGGGTGGTACAACACACACACACATCAGGGTCACTTTGAGGTTCCTGATGTGCATGGACTGAGTAAATGAAGTTGAACAGAATGTGGCAAAAATAATAGAGAAACAACATTTCTATATCCAGGAAGATTAAGTCAGTTAAGAGAATGCAACTGGCTTACATTTGAAGGCAATTCTCAGTGCTTGCATATTCTACAACTGGAGTTGGGGATTAGAAATTAAGTATACCTATATGTATTTCTTGGTTCTTGCATTGGAAGTGTATCTAACCCAAGCATGCTCTAAATGATTCCAGGGAACATGCAGCCAACAATGTATCATTTGCTACACTCCTATTCCATGACCTGCTGTCACAGCTTGATGATCAATTCAGTCGATTCTTGATAGAAAACAACTTTTTGCTGCAGCACAACATAAGGAAAAGCAAACGTAATCTTCAGGTAGGCCTGGGTTATCTGTACAATCTACACATCTATATGTTATCTATATATCTATACATGTGCTTCATTTGCTTCAGTGCAATTGGATGCCTCTAAGCAACTACCCTGCTGTGAGGGATTTTTACAGAGGATGTGTGAGAATCCTGATTTAAAAGCCAGAATTCAAGTGTTGCTCCATTTTTGTTTTGATTGGCTACAGTTAGAAAGTTACAGTTTAATTATCAGTACAGTTACAGTTTGAGAATTCTAGGAAAAAGAAAACCCCCCCAGGGTAGCACCATCCTGAGCAGAGCAGGACAGCACTCAATCCACAGCACATTTCAGTTTTGTGTGCAGGTAAAACAGTAAGGTGGGATTTGCATCCAGCCTGGACTGTGTGTTAAACCAGCACCCATAGCAAGGTGTGGGAGGGTGGTTCTTGTGGGATGAGCTCTCTCTAGGACTGTAGGGTAGTATCCCACGACTCCCAGCAATGTCTCTGACCCTTTCCTGCCTCCTTGTATGCCAATGAGCTACCATGGAAACTTGCTCTTGGAGCTGGTTGTGGCATCACACCCTGTAATCCTGGAGCAGGCTATGACCAGTGTATTCCCTGAGGCTCACACTCAGGTCATACCCTAATTTTTTTTGCCAGTCTGAAAGCTACTGAAAGACAAGAAATTATGTGTATGGACTTTAACAATAGACTGTGTCTCTAATGCTAGGATAACTTCCAAGAAGACCCAATACATATGGCAATGATCATCCACAACTGTCTGAAGGAAGAGAGGAAAATACTGAACTCTGCCCAGGCATGCAATGAGGTAACAGTCTTGAAATATCTGCTGCAGTTGTATCTTCCCTTGCCTATTGTTTGGGACAAGGGAAGTGGATGAAGACTGGCAGGGGAAACAGGCTATCCTCTCTCTGCCCAAAAAGAGGTTCCTTAAAAAAGAGAAGAGTGAGCACTGATATGTACCAGCTGGAGAACACTAATTTGTACCAGCATGGCTGGACAGCATGGCTTTTTTTCTGCTGAATGAAGCATTTGGAGGATAAATGGGCAGGAAATAATTTTTATTCCTTGAGTGACGTAAAAGCTATGCTGGTTGTTTTAATTCTTTTGTAGTATGATGTAGCCTGATGTGCCAATTGGATTTTATTTTCATAATTAGTGCTTAACTCATATATCCAGTAAGATTTTAGGTTTGTTCTTCTGCATTTTACTCCCCATTTTACTCTCTATTAAGCAGCTGAGCATGCTTCTTTGGACTATCTCTGGAAAAATGATGCATCATCCCCCTTCCCAGTAGTCTCCCAGTATTTCTTTCTAATTTTGGTGGTGTTTTGGGGTGTTTTTTTAGTGAAGCCCTTTTCTTTCTTCTGAATTATAGGTAAAGCCATATCTTCTCCTTCATCATCTGTTCTCCAGCTTCTCACTTTTTTTTTCCTTTACAAGAACTCTTTAGTAATAAAAATTCTACAGTTGGGAAAGGCATGCAAAATATATAGATAGCTGTTATCCACTTATGTAGAAATAAAGTGATGACTGACCAAGCATGTTAATTTCCAATATGGTAATACCTCAGTTTATAGCAAGGCTTTAAATGTGCAGCATGGGAAGAGCACTTGGGCAAGGGCTTTCAACAAGGGGCCCTTTGCAGCAGTGTCCAAAGCAGCTGCTCTAAGAGTGTGACTCTGACAGAGCCCCTGGAGCTGCAGCACAGCTGTTTGGTCCTGGCACATGACATAAAGCACTTGCTGCTGCCTTTCCAGTACACAATAAACGTGGGTCATCAAAAAGGGAAAGAGAATTACAGAGTGGTTTGGACTGGGAGGGACTTTAGAGATCATCTACTCTTCCTCTAGACTGGGTTGCTCAAAGCCCAATCCAGCTTGGCCATCACTTCCACCACTGTTTTTAATCCATGATGGGGGACCTTTGGCACTTTACTAAAATAAATACTTGGTTTCTTTCAAATTCACCTGAATTTGATTTTTTTTATACTACGAAGTTTTAGTATGATTCATCAGAACAAGCCATGCTTCCTCAGGTTGTTTGTCAACAAATGCCACTCACTTACAGTAATGAAAAAAGTTATGGGTCACTCTGTTTTGACTGGTTCTGCTTCTTCCCTCAGATGGAAGTAGGGAGTGTACAGAACACTGCAACTGGGATGCCAGACAAGCAGAAGGAGCTTGATGCCAAAGTTAGGGCTGTAAAAAGCAGTGTTACAGTAAGTATAAGATAACTTTTCTCAGTAGGGTTTGTTGATTTGCAGATGCTGAAAATTAGACTTGATAAAATGACAAATAAAATTAAGGTGGGGTTTTCAAGTCTATAAACCAGGGATTTCCTGAGCATAGTAAGTACCTTGTGCCTAAACTTTAGCAACAAAAGCATTTTATCCATCTGAAATACTGGCAAATGAGGGAAGAAACAACTCTTAAATCATAACTGACCAGTTTGTTGCTAACTAGAAAATGTACTTTTTTTAGCATATAGATATTTGTCTTAATAAATACAGTCACAACAGAAAGCTTTTCTCCAAATAGTACATAAGGATTTGAAAGTTTAAAATGCTATGTGCTGTTCCAAGTTTTACCACTGTAGCCTAGGTTCTCCTAAACTCTGTGAATTTACATGGCTTGACCACAAGGGCATTTCCATACTTTATAATTAACAGATTTTAGTTTGTTTTGAAGGAGGAAGGATGTATAGAAGATGATGAAATGTAGAAATATTTCCTGTTAGTCCAGGAACAGACATTGCTACAAAATTGGACTTCATGTCTGTCAGGGCTGGTACCAGGCAGTTCCTAATCAGATCAAGTCTTGCATTACTTGAAAATATTTAATAATTGTGGCCACCCTCACTCGTGCATTACAGGATGTGGAGCAGGACATCAAGACATTAGAGGATATGCAAGATGAATATGACTTCAAATGTAAAACCCTGCAGAACAGAGGTGAGTCATTTTCCAAAGACATCCCCTATTGTATATAGATTGTCAGAGTAAACTGCTCTTTATGTCAGGGCACTGAGCCTAACGATAACACAGCCAAACTTACTGGTATTGTCCCTTGTTGATTAACTCTGCTTCACACTGATACCTAAATTTCTGCATGTCTTCTGTTCCAAGTAAGGGAGTCTACTTGTTAACACAGCATTCCTTTGCCACTAGAAGTAGCAAACCCTATAGGCTCTGTAACCATTCAACCATACACCTAATTAGTGATGTTTCACAAATGCCAAACCAGCTTTAGGTTTTCCAGACTCTTGTGTACCAAGGGAAACCCATGGAGTCCACACTGGTTTCATTATACAGCTCTGTCTCTGTTGTTGAATTCTTTGTTCCAGAAAAGGCTTTAGTTTCTAACACAGCTTGGCAGAGCTGACTATCCCTTAGAGCAGGGACATGTTCAGAAGGTACTAAGGGAAGCACTAAGCCAGCATCTTGCTTTTTGCATTTGTCCCCTTCCTGCCTCAGCATTTCCCCCTCCCATCCTTCAGCATTCCTTCAGCCTCACATTCCCTATTTGGACTTATTTTACAGAGCACGAGTCCAATAGTATGTCTCAGGAGGAATACAAGAAAGAGCAGCTGAATCTCCAGCACATGTTCTTATCACTGGACCTCAAGAGAAAGGTAGCATTCAAGTTTTCTTTCAGAAGGCAGCAGGTCTTCTCTTAACCACATGTTCATTTTCATTGAATTGACATAAATTAGCAGTAGGAAAGGTTTTTTAATATATCAGTTGAACTGAGATATTTGCAGAGTTTTGCAAAACAGATGAGCACTAACTGAAACAGTACTTAGTTCTCCTGTGTGAAGTATTTCTAATAACCAGGGTAATCTCCTATTCTGTGTAGGAGGTGGTGAATAAGATAGTGCAGCTGCTGCAGAGCACAGAGCACACACAGGCTGCCCTCATTAACGATGAGCTGGTGGAGTGGAAGCACAGGCAGCAGACAGCGTGCATTGGTGGGCCACCCAACGCCTGCCTCGACCAGCTGCAGAACTGGTAAGGCTTTGCTAAGACCACATTTAAACCATGGTATGAAGGAGCACCACATCTAGGAAATACACTGATTATTTATATGATCCCTTTTCATTCTGTCTTAACATAGCTGCATTCATTTTATTACCTCAGCACATTTCCATTGAGCACAAAGTGTACTCCAGGCACTGCCACATCCTCAGGGACAGTCACCTGGCTGGTGCCTCTGCACTAGTACAAAATAAAAAAAAATGCTGAAAGTAATGAGATTGTGTCAATTGTAGGTTCACCATTGTTGCTGAAAGTCTGCAGCAAGTTCGTCAGCAGCTCAAGAAGCTTGAGGAACTGGAACAGAAGTTCACCTACGACCCTGATCCCATCACAAAAAATAAACAATTTCTGCAGGACCTAACACACAAGCTTTTCCAGCAGCTCATTCAGAGGTAAGAGACCATAAGGATCTTTTGGTGTTACCATGAATAGATAGATGAAGAGCACTTTCCCTACCGTTCCCTCAGTATTTCCTACATAGTATCTTTTCATTTTCCAAGGTTTTCCTAAGTTTGTCAAACATGAACTGAATTACTGGGTTTGAGATTTACCCCATCTAGGATTTCCACAGATTCAGGCCTATGGAAAGGGTTTATGCTCAGCCATTATTGAAGTTAGCAGGAGCTTTCCTACAGTACACATGGATTACAGAGTCAAATTCTCAGTCTGTTAGTCCACTTTTCACTTCAAGCTTCAAAGTTCAAGCAAAGAGAGGCAAGAGACAATCTGCATCAAGCTGTGCCCAAGATAGGTACACACTAGATTCTCCAACCTTTTGTCACTGGACACATCATCTTTGCCTCCAGCATGGGGAGGCCAGCCCTGCCTCTGTACCACCTTTATGTTGCAAGTTACTGTAGCTGGTAGTTGCCTCACATAAGATTAGAAACCTATTCTGTAAACACACACAGTAGATAAATTTCGGGGTGTATCAAAACAGGCTAGCCCCAAAAGTTTGCTTCATTGTGTTAGCTGGCCCTCATCAAATCACCTGCTAGTGTATCCATGCCTTGGGCATGTGTTGTTACACAGCACTGTTACTGTAAGAATTCAGGAAGCCCTGGGAATGGCAAACAAAGCAACACACCTCACTTGCACCATGAGAATTGCAGCACAGTGTTTCCTTGCTGTTTGATTTCAGGAAAGTGTGTAGCAATCTCCCTCCTCAAGCCATCAATGTGTTGCAGAAAAGGCAACACTTAAAAAATCACTATTTCTAGCCCCATTGTAGCAATTGAAAGGAACTGAGTCACACACCTCTACATAGATTGAAGCTGAGTAAATAAAGTTTATAGTATTACTGGTAAATCAGCATTCTTTTAAAGTTCACTTTTATATGGTTTCTTGTTTAAGAACAGTACAGATAAATCATAGTGTCTTTAACCTGTTCTTCCCATAGCTCCTTTGTGGTAGAGAGGCAGCCTTGCATGCCAACACATCCTCAGAGGCCACTAGTCCTGAAGACAGGAGTGCAGTTCACTGTGAAGCTGAGGTATGTTTTCCCCTTTCCCTGGTTCCTTTTTTGTGGTAAGGCTTTCCTGTCACTGGCTTCCTGCAGCCCAGAGGATTGCACAGCCTGCCCTGCAGCCCAGGGGCTGAGGCAGGAGGAGGGAAGTGCCAAGGGCAGGGGCTTTCTTCTGACAGAACTTGACTCACATTCAGCTTTTACCCTTTCCCAGAAGTGGGGTGTACCAAGTATGTAACAAAAAAAACCCAACAGCAAGAAGACACATGCAGAGCACTCTGCTATGCCAAAGAGTAACTCATTTGCCCATTTAGTTTTATCTCTAAATGCTGTTTGGTATGGAGCAAGCTTGGAGCCTGCATGTGGCCCCTGAGTGTGCTGAAATATCTGTGGTAAGCAACACAATACAAAAGGACCCATATTTTTCAATTGCTGATGTTAAAAAAACATACTTCTCTTTCCAGATTACTGGTGAAACTGCAGGAACTGAACTACAACTTGAAAGTGAAAGTTTTATTTGACAAGTATGTTGCATTTATTTCATCCCTCTTATGTAATGGTAAGCAGTTCCCACACTCAGAAACCCAAGAGCAGCCACATTAGAAGTGTTGAGTAGGCCAGCAGCAGGCTGGTTCTCCATGGCAGCAGGTACATCCTTCCCTTTTCCTTAGCCATTCCCTTGCTCTAAATCTCTCCCTGCCACCAGAGACATGTCACAAAGTGGAGATGGCCTCAGCTTCTCACCACCAACTCCACAGAGAAGAGCTCACTACTGCAAAATCAGACACAGGGCAGCACCTGGGCAACAGCCACTCTGCTGGGGTGTTTCACCTGGATTAGCATGAGGTGGCAGTGTGGGATTGGACCCCACCATTTCTAGTCACATAATTTCAGTCATCCCTTCCTTTTTGGGCACAGTCTAGTAAGGAATATAGTTACCCTCAAGCTGCCTTTGAGTAAGGAGTATAATCTGCCTACCTGTAACATATGACATGTTCTCAATCAGAGAAAAAACTTACAGCAGTTGAAACAGATTTATACCAATCTTTTGTATTTTGTAGGGAGTTCAGGTGAGTTTTGCACTTACTTCAAGGACAGGGAAAGAAATGTGACAGGCTGTCCAAAATAATGCCAGGGACTGTGCTTTCAAGAAAGCAAATGGGTTTTTGTCTTCCCAGCCAAGTAATTTTGTTCACTTGAAATGGCTCTAGGGTCCAGAAACTTGCATAGAATAGTAAAAAAGTAAAAAAGAGGAATTCTTATGTGCAAGTCTTATCTGCAAGTGCACTAGATAGAACGCAACTCAGTAAAATCCCAAGTGTTGGGAAAACCAATCCAAGTGATGCAGCAATTTATCCAAGTTTAAATGCAGATTTAGAGTGGCAGAAATATTTTTTTTTTCTTCAAAGCAAGAGGTAACATCTTTATAGTAAAAGAAAGTACTTCTTTTGATGATAAAGCCCCCATAGCAATACCAAGCCTCAGTAAAACACAGGCTGTGTAGCACAATATTTATTTTGACTGCTTTAACCAATTGCCGCAACTTTTGCACAAGAATTTCACAAAAGCATTTTGCCAGTTCTCAGACAGCACTGTCAGCTCCTAAAACATGCACATTTTCTGTGTCTTTGGCAGAATCTTTAAAAGATTTTGTCCTTTTTTTTCTTGACAGAGATGTAACTGAGAAGAACTCGGTCAAAGGGTACGTGGCATCAGAGTTTGATATATTAACATTAGGTTCTTTCAATGAAAGAGAGATTTAATTACATTTTCTCTCTCTTTGTGTAGGTTCAGGAAATTTAATATTTTGGGAACAAACACAAAAGTAATGAACATGGAAGAATCTACTAATGGAAGTCTTGCAGCAGAATTCAGACACTTGGTAGGGGGTTGGTTTTTTCTTTCTATCACCTATCCAGCCACTTAATTTTGTAGTAGAGCATGGTAGGAAGGAAACAAATTGCTTTTGTTATTGGTGTCATTATTCATTTTTTGTGTAAAGAGAAACTGTGATTATCTCTCCTTTTTCTTTGTTCTGTCCTTCTTAAAATATTTTTTGCCTGTTTCAAAATCAGAATCAAAATGTGATTGATTGTCACTGAAAAAGGGACAGAAATGCAAACAAGAGTATTTGCTGCCATACTGCTTATGCTGCACTGGGTTCTTGGGAGAAAGAAGTTAAAAACAAAGCCTACAAAGGTTGGTTTGGGCCTTTCAGAGGAAGGTCCATAGGTAGGGAAGTCTGGAATAGTTTAAAGAGCTTTGAGTCTGGAAGATGAAAATTGTCAAAGAGTGTGCAGCTGCAAGAGAGTCAGTGCCTTTGGCAGGCTATGGGGCACTTCTGATCTGCAGATTGTGAGGGAACACTCACAATCCATCACTACAGCAGGAAAAATGCAAGTCCAGAACCAGGGAACATGGAACTCTACCTTCATTGTCCAAAACTGAGACTGTCTAGAGTTATCATCTGATTCAGAGGGGTACTTTGATAAACCACTATTCCATCTGATCCGGACTTCATACTGCTTCTGTTCATAAAAGGCCTCTTGCATAAAGGCACTGCAACATCTTTTTTCACAGATGAACAGTTTATAAAAGGGTAGTAGTTTAATCCTTTGGCTCCCACAGTTTAGAACCAAATAGAATCAGACACTAATGCAGAAAGTTTGCATACAGTTGAGCAAGTGGAACATGCAAGTGGAACTCTACCACTTCCATTTGTGGCTGCCATAAATGAGTGACAGGTTTTTTGTTCATTTGCAGCAACTGAAAGAACAGAAAAACACAGGGAGCAGAACAAATGAGGTAAGCAGCACTAACCTTTCCTTTGTCAAGTTTTAGCAGAACACTAACAAGGCATTCATTTAATACAATGCTCTCTGCTCAGACCCGTGAAGACACACGTGGGATGAGAGATCATAGGAGAGGAGTTCAGTGTTTCTACAGAGTGATCCACATAGGGAGAGCCTGCAAGGAGAGCTATTGCCAGAATGGCTGTAAGGGACTCTCCCACACTGGTATCTGCCTTTAACAGAGCTTCCTGGCAAGCACAGATTTTTCTATGACTTACAGGTAGTAGCCACAAAAAAAAAAAAAACAAACATGCCTGGAGAGGCAGTTTTAGGAAGCCAGCACTGTCACTTGACTTTGACCTGTAAGCTCTAGAGTATGTGACCATGGGCAGACAAAGGTTTTCCCCATGATAAAGCCCCATTACTTCACCCTAGGAATTTTCAGTCCCTGAAAAGTTTTCTTATATTTTTTTTGAAGGGTCCTCTGATTGTGACAGAAGAGCTTCACTCTCTGAGTTTTGAGACACAGCTGTGCCAGCCTGGTTTGGTAATAGATCTAGAGGTAAGTCTTAGATCAAACAGATGCACTTCAGTTCCTGTGTGTCACTTGGTGCTGACAATCTTCTTTCTCTCTTTTGTTTTCTTTTTTTTCTTTTTTTAAGTACTGGGATATCACATACTTTCAGTTATTTCAAATTATGGAAATGACACTTCACAACAGCTCTGTACAGACACAGAGAGAGAATTCTGTCAGATCTCTGGGTAAATACAAATAGATGTGCTTTGCAAAATGTCTGATACCTAGAGGGCTTAAACCACAGGGTTGGTTATCAGTTTACATTTATTTCAGAAGCAGTCTGCTGTGAACTCTGCTGTCACTATCAGTGCTGGGATAACTGACACTAAATGAAAGTCCTTATTAGACAAAAATCACCCAAGTCTTTCCAGTATTTCATCATACTTTCTCCCCTGCATACAAACTTCTATAGAGAAAGTCAAGATGATGCAAGCAGGGAATTAAAACAGAAGTGAGTGTGTGGATAATCTCAAGGAGGATTGTGGCAACAGTGCAGGGTAACCTGACATGTTCCCTTTTGTGCCCCTTTCAGACCACATCCCTTCCCATTGTTGTGATCTCAAATGTGAGCCAGCTTCCCAGTGGATGGGCTTCTATCTTGTGGTTCAACATGCTGTCTACTGATCCCAAGGTATTTGCAAGAAAAAAAGGAGTTTTATCAGGTACTATGTCTGATTTTCAAGCATTGTTTGCAAGTGGCTGCTGCATTTGAGCTCTGCAGGTGACTCTTAATGAGTTTCAGGTGTAGAGAGGGGCAGTGACTTCCCTGACCTAACATAGCAATACTTGAAACCCACAGAAGGGTAGTGTACATGTATTCAGGATATACAGCTCACAGTGAGAAGCCAAATACACATTCAAGAACTCAATTAGGGTGCACTTGAGTAATCCAGCAATTCTGCCTGCTGGGAGGAGACCTATCCAGAGCCCCAGAGATGGCTTTTCCTGGTAAAGAGTGCCTGGAAGAATAGCTGCCTGCTTCTGCAGAGCTGTCTCAAGCTGACATCCATTCTTAAACCTGGAGCTTGTTCGGGCAATACAAAAATTCAAGTGGCATTCCAAAATTAATGTTTGTTAACTACAGCTTGTATTTTTCTCTGCCATTCTAGAACCTGTCCTTCTTTCTGAATCCACCTTGTGCAAAGTGGTCTAAGCTTTCTGATGTTCTGAGTTGGCAGTTTTCTTCTGTAACAAAGAGAGGACTTAATACAGATCAGCTGAGCATGCTGGGGGAGAAGCTTCTTGGTAAGATCTGCTTTCATCACAGATGGCCTGTGTGAATTGAAGCTAGTTCTGCACCTTTTCCTGCAACCCATTTTAAGTTTTCCTTTCCTCTCACAGCTTTCCCCCCTCCTACAATATAACTTTGTAGCAAGGAAGCATTTTCCACTTTTCAGTATGGCAGAGCTTCTACATGAAATCAGATCATGAAAAAAATCTGCAGTTCTAACTTGGGAGTTTTATGCATTAGAGCAACACAGACTGAGCCTAATTCTGCCTTTTGAAGTAACACTCATGTTTAGTCAGTCTGTGAAGTGGATGTTTCTTGGCATCCCTTGGGTTTTTTTTTTTTAAATCCACCTCCATTCATTTTAACTTCATGCATGCCCCCAGCTACAGTGGGGATTCAGTCTGCATAAACACAGTTGCAGTATCAGCATGCAAACACTATGAAAGTGCTAAAGAATGTCAAACTGAATTATCTCCCACATGAGGGTCCTTAATAATAGCCTCATCAGCCATGAGTTTTGTTTCCAAACTCCTTGCAGTTTGCCTGAACAGGCAGAGCACTTTACACTGCTACTGATTTTGCACAGTAGACTCCAGATGAAAAATACTGTTGATTCAGTATATTTCCTCAACCTTAAGTTTCAGGGAAAAAATTATATTTAAAAGCATTTGAGATTAGTGTGTCTAGGTGGCAAGTATTCAGCATTCCACTCTAATTTCCTCAAGACATAAGATCTGACAAAAAGCTGTTAATTTATTAGATTTCTTCTCAAATTTCCACAAAGAAAATAATTTTTTTTTGTTAATTAACCAACATAAAGAGACCAGTGATATGCCAAATTTGTATTTCAGAACTACAGGGGCTTTGTTGAGCTCTGGTAGTGTTCTACTTAAATCTTATCTCTATAGATATAAATATTACCCAGCTGAAAAAATCCTGCTTGCTGAACACTATATTTAGGATTCCTCAGTGCAAGGAGACAGAACCACCAGGGTGCCAGGGCACAACATGGCTGCTGTTTTTGCAATATGAAAGTTGGCAGTATCAGTAACAAGCTCCCTAACCCAGTTTATTTTTCGAAAAATGACAGAAAAGCATATCTATGGGAAGCCATAGGATGCTCTCAAATGGGAAGAATATGGTTCTGGGTCTGCAAAGCTCCCAGCTACTGTAGGCCCAGCAGAGGACTTTTCTTTGTGCTTTGGATGTGGTTATGAAACACTGTGAACATACAAACAAGGCTGAAGGAAACAATTGCAACAGGAATAAGATCAGTCTATGGTTGGGGCAGACCTGGGAGTCAAGAGTTTCTGGGGCAAAATCCTGCAAATCTCCAGAACCAAGGTAGGAAAGTGCTTAATCTTAGAGAGCTTAGGGAGATGCTGCAGGGTCTGCTGAGCCTGCAGAGGAGCTTGTGGGCTGCAGTCTTCTTGCTCTGCTGGCAAGAGCTGTGCAAGGATTCAGTTTCCTTCCTGGAAGCATTCTGAAGCTGGCAAGCACAGAAAGTGTCAGGATGGATTGGTTCCCATGACACAAGGGCTGCTCACACAGGTTGGGGTATTGTAAAACCTCCCAGAGGGGAACTTGGCAACCTCCCCTGCAGTAGCTGTGAAAGCACAGCAGCCTGCCCTTCCTTTTCTTTCTTAATCCAACAGCTGCCTTCCAAATAAACACTCAGAACTTGGTTTGCTAAGTACTTTTAGCCTTACTAGGTAACTTACAGAACATGACTGAAGTCAAATTTATTGTGTTCAGGGCCAACAATTGGAGCATCTCAGGATGGCCTTATTCCTTGGACAAGATTCTGCAAGGTATGCACACAGTTTTAAAAACTGAGATGGAAGAGGGATCTCATCTTGCTTTATTGTGGGTTTTGTTTGGGCTTTTTTGTTTGTTCCCCCCCCAAGGTGCCTACTTTTCTAGTAGCATCCCCTAATTATTCTAGGCCTTAGATGGTCATGGGAGGCTTTGGTGGTGAGGTTAAAGTAGCAGCAGGAGGAAAAAGAGCTTGCTATGGCAAGGAGTAGATGATTTTGAGTCTGGTTTTGATCCATGATCCAAAAAAAAAATCTTTCAAACACAGCATCTCCATTATTATTATTAATGCAGCTGCTATTAATAGAATAACTCTCCATTTTGACTATTACAGAAAATGTAAACAAAATCCAGCAAGACGAACAATTCTTCTGTATCTTAGTGAAGGACATTCCCCAGACCAGGGCAAACTGGATCAGGGTGAGGATTAACACAGGGATGTCCAAGAGGGTCAGTATGATGACAGAAGGCTACATCATGGAATTTCACAGCCCTGGCTGAAGCAAGACAGGAGGACCCTTCACATTTTTTTCAGCTTTAGACCCTAAGCTGGTATAGATAAGTAGGAGATCACAGCAACCAGGAGCAGACTCCAGGGGAAGAGCAAGGCTCTGGTGACCTACAAGCACTCCTAACTAATTGCTACAGATACCTCATGAGACATTGAGATCCAGGTCTCAACAGAAAGTGTCTCTTAAGTTTTTCTGCTAGCCAGCCCTGTCAAAAACCCCAGTGGCATGGGTTTGCATGTCCCACAACTCAAATAGAGATAGCATCCAGGCAGGAACAAGAGCCTTTAATCTGCTCTTAGACCAGATCTGCTCTTAGTGTTGTTGCATGTGAGAGGTGATGGATCACACATTTGTGGGTACTGGAGGCTCAGACAGGCATTTTAACTCAAGTCTCATTATCCCTGTTCCCCCCCTCCCATCCCTGCCTTTTCATATTCTGAATTTCAGGAAAATATAAATGATAAAAATTTCCCCTTTTGGCTGTGGATTGAGGGAATCCTGGAGCTTATTAAGAAGCATCTCCTGTGTCTCTGGAATGATGGGTAAGACCTAAGTGAATTTGAAGACATGGTCATTGCCTCAGACTTCACTTTTAGGCTAGCAATTGCACACTAGGGGAGGTTGGGAGGTTGTTTGTGCAGAGGGTGGATCTCAAAACTGGAAAAATCTGAAGCAAATGAATTCTAGTAGGGAGGAATCCTCTGATGAGGGAACTGGTAAAAGCAAGAACATCAGATCACCAAGTTGTCCCATGTAAGTCACAGAGCAGGGCTTTGAATGTTAGATTAGATTTTGTTTTGCCTCTGCTCCCACTCGAAGTCAGTTCTTCCTACATCCTAGACCATAGCCAAGAAAAACTGAAGCACAAGAAAGTGTAAGTCCTAGTGATATCCATTTTAAAAACCCAAAAACCACACTCCCTGCCCGAAGAGAGTTACTGTGAGCTGCCTGGAGGTGGCAGCAGCCAGGCTCGGAACGCCTGTGCCTGCACCATGTGCCCAGAACCCGGCAGTCTTCACTGATTTTTTAAGAGTATTACCGAATAGAAGGACTCTGCCAGATGGGAACACAGTTCCATTTGCCCTTTAATACTGGTTTAGTAAACTTTTCATTCAGGGATTTCCGATTTCAGATGTAATTTTGCCCAAAATAGGCTTATCCAAGGTCACAATCCTGTGTTTTAATTTTAGCCACATTATGAAACCTCATCAAACAGCACACTCACAGTGGAGCATCCTAGTATCTCACACTTCTGCAGCATCTACAGCAGCAGGATTGCTTTGCCTTGCTGCATTCAGCAGTGGGCTTCACATTTTTGCCCCCCAGCTCCAGAAGAGTTCTGTCAAAGCCCTGCGCAGTACAAGCCTTGTTTCCCTGCCCCAAACCTCCCCTTTTCTTTGCTGCAGTGCAGTGGGAATATTTGTCACCATTACTGAAGCAGAGTGGCAGTTCTGGGACTGGCATTACAGGTGGATTTGGTCCAGGCTTGAATAGCTTGAACAGCCCAGCTTTAAGAGCAAAATGGACCATCATTTTTGTTCCAAGTGCAGAAGGATATTTGTATAAGCCCCCAGGCTGAAGTGAGAGTGCTGAGGGAAGCTGTGGTGATTCACACTGCCACGAGGCATGAATCACCACCTGACTGCAGCCAGCCAGTCCTGCTGCCAGCTGTCCACAGGACAAAGCCTTCTGTGAGGCTTTCACCAGCACTTCAGCTCTTTTAAGTGAAGGAAAGCTTTTTAGTTTTTCCTAGCTAGCACAGCACAACTTGGTTTTTATGTTGGGGAGTAACTCAGCTCTTCCCTTTCAACATTACAGCTGCATTGTGGGCTTCATCAGCAAAGAGAGAGAACGTGCTCTGCTGAAGGACCAGAGCCCAGGAACATTTTTATTGAGATTCAGTGAAAGCAGCAGGGAGGGAGCAATCACCTTTACCTGGGTAGAGGAATCTCAGAATGGTAAGTCAGCAACAGAGAACCTTTGCTGACCTGCTTGCACCAGAACAAGAAGTCTTTATGCCCTTCTCCTCCACCCTGAGGACCAGCACAACACCCCTGGCAGCAGCAGGGCACAAGCAATAGCAGGAACACACCATACTTGGGGTAACTCAAACCACACAATCAAGGTTTCAGCTAGGACAAGGAGCACTTCCCAGGTCCTGCTTCTGGCCTGGAGGTTGGAAAGGAAAAACTGCCCAGACTGTCTTCCCTGCCTCCTTAGGCTCTCTGCCAGCCTTTAGCACACACACAATTGCATCTCCTTCCAAGCCCAAATGATTACAGCTTTTGTTCCTTCCTTCCTCCCCACACTCCCCCTAGATAAATTATGTACTCACTCATTTTCAAGTAGTTCTTCCTCCCCTTGTCCAAATGGATCAGTGAAGAGCTTGCTTCTTCTGTGAGCTGGACAAGTTTCTCATGCTCTCCTAAGGAAGCCTGAAGGCATCACAGCTACAGGAAATTAAAGCCTCCCTTGTAGCCAGTCAGGGCTCTCCCCTTATCACACTCATTACACAGCCCCACCTGCCAGCATGGGGCAGCTGTTGACACTTCACTTTGATGAGCCCAAAACCAGCAGCAGGTGGAAGAGAAACTGCTGATGTACTTGGGTGACTTCTTTCCCTTGGCTGCCTTCATTCCTGAGACATCCAAAAGTTCAAAGAAAGTTGATAGTATTTGGAGCTTTCAGGAAGGCTTATATGTCTCTCCTGATGATTCATAAAAGCCTCAAGTGGTGTATTTGGATCAAACTCCCTAATAGACAGCAGAGTTTGAATTACATAATTTGGAAGAAGGTTAAAAAGGCAGCACAACCTAAATTACTTAATGAAATATTGCAGTTAATTTCCATGGACAAGTCACACCAGTCATTCTGAGTACAAAACACACCAAGAGCCCTCACTGTGTGCTATCCCCCCACGCCTCCCTACCCCACAGAACAATTATGCTCCCTTTGGCAGGAATTAAAGATTTCCTGTAGCACTGTAAGTGTCATCCAGGCAAGGCTTTTCCTATGTGATCTCTGAATTTGTTGGAAGTGGCTGCAGCTTTTCTGGACACTTTCAGAAAAAAACTTGGAAGCCAGCTTTACAAAGTGCTGCTTCTCTCCTCAGCAGAGCCCCAGTTCCACTCGGTAGAGCCCTACACCAAGAAGGAGCTCTCTGCCGTGACCTTCCCCGACATCATCCGCAATTACAAAGTGATGGCAGCCGAGAACATCCCCGAGAACCCACTGAGGTTCCTGTACCCCAACATCCCCAAGGACAATGCCTTTGGCAAGTACTACTCCAGGCCTAAGGAAGGTGAGTGCTATCTGGGGCTTGTGCCTTTTAGCTTGTCTGCTTGTTCCTCAGCTGCTGGGGCACTGCACAATTTCTGGGGCATGCAAAGAAAGGGAGCAGTTGGCCTGAATGCCTCGACAGCCCATCCCATGTTTATAGGTTAAGAAAAGGTTTGTTTTTAAACAGGCACAACATGAGACTTAATCAGACCAAAAACTGAAAGTCCTAATTGTCACTGGCTGTTATGTGAGCCCGTGAGCTGTTCCAGAAATGCAGGCTCCTACTAACAGCCCTGACCATGACTGCTTATGGGAGGGGTTTCTTTGCCATTTTCTATAGGAAAAAAGGAAAACTGACTAAAAATGGAATAAATTAACCATAGTGCTGTAAAATGCATGACAGAGAGACTTGCACATTATCTGGGTCATAGGCTGTATTTTTGGTACAATAAAGGTGAAAATGTGACGTAAACTTGCTGGAAAAAAACCCCACAAGCTTTTTTTCTCTCCTTGAAGCACCAGAGCCAATGGATTTGGATGGTCCCAAGGGAACTGGCTACATCAAGACTGAGTTAATCTCTGTATCTGAAGTGTAAGTTCTCACAAAACTGCTGGATTTTTAAGAACTGGTCATAAGATTTTAGCTGTAGTTCATGTCTTTTCATACTGTTTAAGCTGCAGGTGCCCCAGTCAAGTCGTTCCTCTTTGAGAATCTGATCACAACACATTAATGTGCTGCTGTGTTCAAAACACCATTTTTACGTAAAAACCCTAGAAATTTGCAGGGAGTTATACTGGCAAATAATTTCTTGAAAAGCACATTCTCAAAGACTTGTTGGACTTCTTTGGTTAGGATGTGCACCCCTGAGTAGTCTGAGTTTCATTTAAAGCCAGGCTGGCTTTGCCAAGTCTGGTCTTCCTCACAAGAGGCCTGGTTAGTGGCCCTTCAGGCCTTGGAGCCAGACAGGGCAGCCCAGCTGTGCCTCATTTCTTTGGTGACAGTGAATCCCTGCTCTTGTCCATCAGGCACATTTTAATCCCTGCTCTTGTCCACCAGGCACCCCTCCAGGCTGCAGTCTCCAGAAAACCTGCTGCCCATGTCTCCCGAGGAGTTTGATGAGGTGTCTCGCATGGTGGGCCCCGCCGAGATCGATACTGTGGTATGTACCAGGAGCTCAAGGGTTCAGCCACAAGCTGCTTTTCCCTTCCCCCCCATCTGAGACATACCTCATCCATTTAAGCAAACACTTGAGAACACGTCTCTTCACAAGCATAGGGAAAGCTGGGATCCAGAGTTAGACTGGGATGGCCAGCAGTTGTTTTTCAAACACATCTGCAGGAGAAGGGTGAAGAACAGGAGAGCAAAGCTTCCTGTGTGTGCTTTGCAGGTGGAGGAGAGATGGCAGGCGAGGAAGGAGTATCCCTGTAGTGCCTCTGGTGGGGTGTGTGTGGGGAGGGCCCAGCAGGAGTGCACTTTGGAAGTGCTGCCCTGCCAGGGCTGGTGAGGTACTGCCTGTGAACAGAGCAGTGCTGCCCTTGCAGGGTGTGCTTCAGAAAAAGAAACAAATTCAAGTGATCCCTGCCCTGAGCAGCTGAATCCTGATGTGAATCAGTGTGGCTGGGGCACAAGGTGGTCATGCTCTGTGGTTAGCAAGGACTTGAGAAGGAGGGCTGGGGTTATGTAATGAGGATTCCTTTTCTCCTTGCAGATGTGTACACACATCCAGCTCTGAGCTTTGGCTGAGCTTTCCCTGTGTCACGAGCACGGCCCATCCCCTTCACGCCTCCTGTGCTGCACTCAGTGCCTTGGGGACAACGCTTCCTTCTTTGGTTCCTCAGCCTCAAGGTCCAGCAGCAGTTTTAGCTGATGGGAATACCAACAGCAGCAGCCTGAGCAGCCTCCTTACATGCATGTCTTTGTTTAATTAGCAAGATACCGTGCACATCTTTGTTTATTTAGCAAGATACTGTGCCAGAGTGGAGGAAGAGGAAGGTGAGATTGTGAGCTCCTCAATGACAGTGATGGCAGAAACATGCATTCATTGTTTGAAGAAATTAGTTAAAAGTTTAAAACAGTTACCTGTACATAGAAGGCATCAAAGAAAAGCTGGTTGTTTTGCAGAGGTTCTGTTCAGAAAGCTTACACCTTGAATTTTTGTCTGCATCACAAAAGGAAAACGCTCTACACATACCATGCCACACCAAATCCATGTGCTGCTGGTTTGTTGTGCTTTTAAGCTCTTCTGGGCAGGCCCATGGAGAGAGCAGAAGCCCAAAATGTTACATGCATTTCATTTACACAATTTTCACAAGGCATAATCTTGTGTAGGACGTTGAGCACAGTCTTTCTCAAAAAAAGCATTTCTTAGGACACCACCTTCAAGCTGCATTGGCACATGCTGAGCTTGGAACCCAAGGTGCATAATCAAGACTAAAGCCTCTGCAGACTGCAGTCATCAGACAGAATCAGAACCTCCTCTTAGAGGACTGCAAAAGGGATTGACTTATGATTTTATTTACTGTGCCTGATCTGCCAAGGTGAGGATCTGGTCACCCCTATCTTCTGCAATAATATAGACCCCACGTAGGTTATAACAGGTGGAACAGAACTCAGTTTTCTCATGCATCATGAACCAGGGCATTTATTTAACTGTTAATTTGAATAGCTAAAACACTTTACAGGTTTTGATAATGAGGTGGTTTTGTAATTAGGGGTAAGGCACAGGAAAGTTAAAAGAAGTTAAAGTTTATGCAGAGCACTGGCTGCAGGATATGCAGTCTGCAGTCCTTAAAGGATGAAGCTGTGCTTCCAGCAGAGGAGGAACAGGTTGGTTTCTCAGCACCTTTGAAGGCAATTAACAGCTCTCAGTTGAGAGGCAAGGCTGTTCAGGCAGTTGTGTCTCTCTGAGGGTCCCTGTTAGTGCAGGCTGCTCATTAGCAGGGAGCTGAGCAGAGGGGCTGCAGAGCCCTCGTGCTGCACCCCCCTGCCCAGGTACAGGGACACTGCAGGGCCCTGCCTGAGCAGGGCTTGGGCAAGGTGACCTCCAGAGGCCCCTCCAGACCCATCAGCTGCTGTGACATCTCATGTGCCCCCTGAAAAAGCTTTCTAGAAAAATTAAAGGACCTAGAGCATGTAACACCAGCACATATTTAAAAGAAAGCATTGCAAACTGACTTATTTTGGTGCCCTGAGTTACTGGGATTAACAGTGCTACAGGAAATGACTTAATGCTTTTATCTTACTGTAACAGCTGGATGTGTATCTGTTGCTAATACAAAAATCAAGTTGTTTTTTGAGCTATGCTTTGTATTCATGTTCTACAAGCCATTTTAATCTTCAGTTTTGTGGGACTTAAAGCAGTGGCCTTATTCACAGCTTGGTCTTTCCATAGCCAATAGTTCTAGAAGTGACTTTTCCTCAATGGAATATTCTTTTATGTATTTTAAATAAAAGGAACTGTCAGTTGCCACTTCTTGTCCTCTCTCATGTTTTGGTTACTTCTATGATAAAGTGGATGTGCCAGTCTGTATTTTACTACTCTGTATCTCATTTTAAATTTGTTTGTGCAACTAAAGAGTTACAGCTCTGAAGCCTGAGGCAGTATCCATGCTTTTAATTCTCTGCATTTTGGCAGGTCTGTCTGCACTGGAGTTATTAGAAGGTGGCTGTTACCTTTTTTTATTACTGCTTGTATCCCTTCATTCATTTGTTTCCATCCCCACACAACCTTCAATAAACTGAACTTGAATTTCTAATTTGAGTCCTCAGTGGGTTAACTGATCTATGGCTCATCTTTGTGGGCTACCAAGCTGGACCCTGCTGCTTTTCTCTGGGGCTAGAAAGTGACAAAATCCCTCATCTCACACTTGTCAGGCTTTTATATGAACTGTACAGCCGGAGGAATAATAAAGGAAACTGTTGGTGTGAAGAAGGACAAGAGAGTGAGTCAAGAGAAAGCTTGACCTGTTCAGAGTACCTGGCCAGAATTCCAGCATTAACAAAAAGCAACCACCAGTGAAAGGACACAGCTCTGGAAATGTAGGTTTCAAAATAAACACCAAAAAAATCAGGAAAACGCAACATGACAGAAATTCATTCTGATTTCCTGTATGCTTTGCACAATGGAAATGACCAGAGAAGGTTTTCCAGGACAGCCTTCCCACACCTGAGGACTTATTTCAATGGCAGTCCCACAGATAACCAATAAAACCCACCAGCACCACCATCATCTTGGTATTTCCATTTATTATGCTGTAAAAAGCAACACTATCTGGATTTTATTTCTTAAAATAAATAACTTTCATTTTCAGAACCAGTACAGCTCAAGTTTAGATTCATTCATGGGAAACTGCTAGAAATACATTCATCACTGTCTAGTCCCCACAATACAGAATCTAAAAGTCAAGATCAGCCCAGTCAGTTACAATGACCAGAAGTACACTGCCAGTAAGTATAGTCACGGATAGTCCAGCTCTGAAGCAAAAAATCTGGTACAATACAGTTTGTTCACAAAGGCTAATTAATGCTAAGACTAGCACAATATTTCTGAGTACAAAGCATTAAGTTAGCTGAACGATTTTAGGTTGTGATACAGAAGAAACATATATGACATAAAAACAAAGGAGTGGGGGGAATCTTCTTTGGAGCATAAGGAAGTCAGCGTTGGATAAGATAACCAAAAGCTATTTACTGGAAAATCTACATGTCAGTGTCATGAATGATAAACAGCCAAACCAATGTAGTACTGCATATATTTATATTTATAAAGAACGCCATGTCTAAGCAGCTGCATCGCTGAATTGGACATTACAAAATAATCCATCTTCTCACAATGAGAAAATACTAAAACTAACCAGCAAAAATGCACTGAAGCTAGGACTGGCTAAAAGCACTCGGTATGAAAGCATTAAGTTTAGGGACAGCCATGATCTTCAATGTTAGCTCAGTTACAATCCTTTTGGTTTTGGTTTGTTTATATCATGTGTACTATATAATAATATACCTATGTTTAAAATGCCAGTTTGAACAACACAATGTCAGTTAAATAAAGCTACATCAGGTATTTTTCTGAGAAGCTACAGAATGTGTTCTAACAGGGGCAAAATAGGGAGGATTAGCACTGAAATCCATAATTTTGAACTAGGATCCATCTGAAAATATTCCTTTACACTGAAGCTCATAATTTTGTTGCCTTGTGCTACCCAGTGATGTGGCTCAACAAAGAGCCAGAGGCCATTTCATTTCGTTCTTGTTTACAACAGGGGTGGCCATGACACAGGATGTGAAGAGAGTGGGTTAAAAGCCTTCAGAAAAATAGCTGATCTTCAGAAGAACAAAGAAAAAAAAAAGAACAAGAAAAAAAAAAAAACCAAAAACCAAACCCAACCAGCTCAAGAAGAGGAGGATTCTTAAGAAAAAGTGTTTGATAACCATGCCAGCCAGCTTCGAGATGCTGTTTGAGGGCTTTAGACTTTCAGACTCTTTCATGATGAAGACAGTCACTGCTTGTGATGAGTACCAAGCACTTTTCCATGTGGCTTGTCCTCCCTGCAGGGAGGCAGTATGGCATTTTGACAAGAGACTGTACAGGAACTTGAAAGGATTTATTCTCAACTATACTGACCTGCTGGGTCGCTCTGGAGAAGTTACTTCTCTCCAAGCCTTAGTGTCCTCATTGCTAAAGGAGGGTAATGTGGTTCAGATCATCTTTATAAAGTGCTTGGGCATTCTAGGAAGAATTTGGGCATGATTTCAGGAGATTTTGGTGCCAAAACACAGAAAATTTGACCTCTGAGATCTACTAATGACTTGTATGCAACGTGCTAGGATAAAAACCACCATATACACAATTCTCAAGCACAATCTCCTTTTCCATGTGCTAAATGATTCCTGCCTAAAACTCTTGTGCTAAAATCCTTGCCTACGTCCAACAACTGTAGTGTGTTGTGAGTATCTGAAGTGACTGCCCACTTCTGAGGCTTTGTGCCACACTACTGGCAGAAGCAATTGTACAAGGGACAGGGAGCTGTGGCAATATTGGACTCTTGTGAACTACAAATACCTGCACCTACATTTTCCACAACAGGGCACGTGCCACGCTGGCTTCAGTGGCAAGACAATGAATGCCACCATTCACCACAAAAGGCATTTACTCAGTTGTGCTCCTGGTGCTGAACTCCTGTCCTACACCAGGGGAATCCCAGTGATGCAATATCCTGCTCCCTGGTTGATGGCAGTGCAAGAAGAGAACATAACCTAAAACCTGGCTTATCTCCTGCTCTGCTCCTGTTCTGATTGGCTCTATGCTCCTTAAAGCTGTTTCACTCCATCCGTGCTCCTTGCCACAAGCCTCAATGAGCTCAGATTGTATTTGGTTTGGTTCTTTGCCTTTCAAGCACTTCCATTGCCCTGGCTGGCTCCTGGTGCAGCCACCAGGAGGGAGCAGCCCCTGCCAGCCCCCCCAGGGGTAGTGCAAATACACCTGCAAGGAACACCTGCACGGAGTGGAAGCACCCACATTCCCTGGCCACAGGGAAGCACTTTAGCAGCTGAACGTGGAGAGAGAGGAGGGAGGCAAGACAAAGGGAACTGAGAGAAACGCTCCCAAGACACAAATCCCACTACACACCGCAGCTACACGTCACACTCCCCTACACCATTTGGTCAAACAAACCTTAAAACACGTTCCCTGACAAGACTATCTCTAAGAACAAGCCTAGACCATTGACAAGTGTCACCTATATACTCTGTGATATTTATATTATGTAAACAAGGTTGTGTGGAATTCTTTTTTTCTATTTTATCCCAAAGATAAGTGCAGATCCTTACTTAACACACCCAGCCTACATCTACATCAGCATCCTCAGCTTTCAAAAAACCTCACTGACGCTCATACCTGACAGTACTCTGGCTCATCCTGGCCATACTGGAAACAGAGGGCTAAAGAAACAAAAATTCAGCAGAAAAGTTCCTGACCACAGACTAGAGTTCACATAGAACACAAAAATAAATTAAGTAGTGCACAGTAAAGCCAACAACAGCTAAATATTTTTATACATCAATTATATGCAGCATGAGGTAATATTGCTCACATTATGGAGGGAGATTCTTAGTTGGTTTTGTTTCTTTTGAAGAGATTGGATTTGTCCTGTGCGTATAGAAACTCCTGTAACGTAACACTGAAGTAACAGAGACTTCTGTAAAATATATACCACTATCAGATAGAAACACACACGCTCTTCATTACTTATGCATACCACAATTAAATAGGTAAGTGATTTGATTCTTAGGATCTAGCTGAAGATGATTATAGCAAGCCATCCAGATTTTTATGAACCGTTCGGTTCTCTTTCCCGTCGTTGTTATCTTCTGATGGCGTGTATTGGGTCTGATACTCTTGAAGAATTTTAAAAACATCATGGTGTCCAAAATGTAAAGCTTCATCCATAGGAGTGTTGTTCCACCTACAAAAAGCAGCACAGAATTTTTAAGATCAGCATGTTAAGTACAGAGCCAAAAAGCACCACAAATCAAGTTCTTTACATTCTGCACTAATGGCTTAGCACACAGACCCCATTCAGTTCAGTAACTGTGGAACTTCATTAAGCTGAGCATAACCTTTGAAATAATGGGTTTAGTGGCTCATTTTTCATTCCTGCTCAGTCTGCAGAACCTACAGAGAACCAGCAGGATCCCATTCCCCCGCTTCAGTGGCCTGGCTCAACACATTCCACTCTTATTTGACAGGCACATCTCCTCACAGACACTAGGGAAGTGTTAGTGGAGCATCCTCCCTCCAAACCAGCAATAAAACCACTCACCTGTCTTTGGGGAAAGGATTCACTTTGCACGCTTCCAGCAGAAACTTAACAACATCCACGTGTCCTACAGGAAAAGCAGCTTTGTGAGGGTGTGTACTTCTATATACCCATTTATATACAGACAAAAGCAGCTATGCACAGAGGCAGCAAGGATGTGCTAAAGCACACAGACAGACAGACAGACAGCAAATGCTGTGTGAGGAGACAGTACCTTCTGCAGCTGCCACATGCAGGGCTGTCCGTGAGTCATAGTCTCTTTGCTCCATATCCATTCCTGACAGAGCAAACCTTAGAAACAAAATAAAATACAATAAAAGAGATTGCAGAGGCAAGTCTTAGGTAACTTGAAGCACATTACAAAACACCACCCTGCCACAAGAGGATGCAAGCAGCACCACGAGCACATCGTATCTTGGCTGATAATGAAAGGGGCTTGGCTTTGAAAACCAGCTTTGTGCCTTAAATTCCTTTCTGTTCTTTAGGTGTCACAAATAAAAATAAAACATCTTTGCAGAAAACATAACAGTCAATGTGCCTGATCTAAAATGGTCCATGGACAAGCTAAGCCACATAAAGCAGAGTAAATTTATACCAGGTGAGAAAATCCCAGGAAGTCTCTCAAGTCTGAAAATCCTGAGCAGCATTAAGGGATTGGGAGGGTTCTTGCTTCACACTATGATTCCTTGGGACAGCAGAGTTAAACTACACACCATAGATTTCCCCACCCATTAATTATATTTAGATATATTCTAGCCAAATTAATGCTTATTTAGTCTACTACCATTATTACCTTAAATTTTGCCAGATTCTCTTCCAGATTTCAAAAGCAAAGCTAGATGTCCTAACCAGTCCAATAACAATGTGCATTTTCCAACCTGAATTTTTGTGGCACTTTTAGAATTGAATATTAAAGCAGGTGAGAGTATAGACAGGATTTTCTGCCATTGCTATTAAAAAATGGCTAAAGAAATTTTTTTACTGCTGATCCAAAGAAATGGAACATAGTGGGATTCAGGATAGTGTGAGGGTACCTTTTTGATAGTTAGATTTGGGTCTTTTGGTTGGGTTTTGGGTGAACATATTCAATCTCTCATGCAAACTCAATGTCCCCAAACGAGACACAGTGCATGTGCATGTTCCTAAATAAATAACAACAAATAAATAACAACAGCAGGAACAAAACAAGCAGCATTCCCACTCCTATTCCCAAACCCCCACTGGTTTTTACCTCCGGAGTGCAGACACGTCCCCTGTGTAGGCAGCAAACAGCAGATTTATCACAGACTTCACCTACAAAGAGAGATTAAGTTCCAGTTTACTGATCTTCTTCCCTCAAGAAGAAAACCCAGTGGGGCCAGTTGGTCCAGTGCTTATGAACTTCTGAACTGTATCCCCTTGCCTGACCACATTCTGCAGCACAGCCTGCTTTGCTACCAGTACTGCAAGGTCTGTCTTCCCAAGGCTGAAGTCCTTAAGGACAGTAAAAGAACTAAAACCAATGAATTTCTGCTCTGTTGTGGTAAAAAAAAATGAGCCTTGTTCTATGGGCAGAGTGTGTTTCTCTCTTCAGTTGCCCAATGACACCAAGTATTGAATTGCACAGGCAGCATTGCTGCACAATTTATAAAACCATGAACTCCTCAAAAAGGCAAATTCACTCTGGAAAAGTAGGATTATTTTTGTTATTAACTGCAAAGATTCGTAATGCCAGGAGAAATCTATGTCAGCAGACATAAATTTATTTAAATGTTACCCTTTTTTCTGTGTATACAGATTATCCTTGCATACATCTAATGTACACACTTTTGCTCAAAAAAAACCAACATTTAAAGCAGTTCTGTTATATAATAAGCAAGGTTTCCAGGCAGATAAAGTTGGATCTTTTTAGATAAATATGGGCTTAAAGCATGACATGGGTACCTAAGTCTCTGCTAAGTAGTGCTTTTTCTCAGCTGTATTAATTATTCCAGTAAGAAATGATACTGTCAGGGTACACCAACCTTGTCCCATGCATATTTTTAATACATCCTGGCTATAACAACTCTGCAGGTTTTAACAAGTGCCAAAAATGACACACTAGATGCTTTTAAGTATCCACATTAGCTCTTCCATAAACTGACATAGCCACTTCTAGGCACCATTTCCCAGTAATTTCCAGTAAACTTTCTAAATGCTGCTTTGCTTTTTGAGTCTATGAAGCTCTGTCGCTGCCACCAGCCAAGTAACAGAGAGAAAAGAGGGAGTTGATGCTGCACTGACCTTCTACAACAAGGAGAAACAAACAAAAGAGAAATCCCCACCCACAAGCAAGTCTCCCACAGATTTCTGCAAGAACACTGGCGTATTTTCACAGGGCCACAGAGTAGCCAACATCTGTGCCTCCTCTAAACCAAAGCCCTGGAGTTGCTTGTTGTTTTTTACACCTCAAATACGCACTGAGGCAAAGAGAGACTGAAGGAGAAGGAGGCACAAAGGCCAGGATGGAAATGCAAAGGGGACCCAGAGCCACCCTCACTGCAGCACCCACAAAGCCCTGCAGCCCCTTTGCAGTTTGCACTCTGGGGGCTGTAGGGTGCAGATCTGTAGGACTCCCTCCCCTCCCAGGGCTGGCCTGTCCCTACACCTGACTGGCCCCAAAGGCTGCGCCCCTGCTCAGGCTCCCTCAGCTCTGACCCCACACAACCTTCAGCTGTGGCAAACCTGACATCTCACCCCACACCCTCCTCTCCAGCCTTACAGAGGGCTGCCATGGAGTCATCCTACTCCCCCCACAAAGATCTCTCTGTTTAGAGTTTCTGCCACAAGCCAAACCAGTGAGCAAGGCTCCCAGGCAGGTCAGTGGGGCCTGCTCGGGAGGCAGATCCAGGCCCCCCAGCTGAGCCCTCATGCCATGGCAGCTCCATGCCAGGGCTCAGCCCCTCGGGACGGAGCTGCTGGGAGCACCCAGGGCTGGGCTCTGCCGTGCAGGGTCACGGACACACGGACACACAGACACACGGACTTGCATCAGCCAGGCCAGCTCAGGGCAGCAGCCAGGCAAACGCCATCCCTGGCCTTCCACGGGGAGCACCACAGCCAGCCCGAAATGCCGAACCCTCTCACGGAGACAGCAGCGGAGTGCAGGTGTGAAGGGGAATTTAGCTCATTTAGCTCGATAATCTCTGCATTTCATCGAGATGAGTCAGGCATTCCAGGCTGGCTGCACTCCCACGGTCCTACAGGTGATGAATACTCTCCCTTTTCAGGGGCTGGGATGAGCAAAGGACACACTGTCTTAACACAAAAACCATTTCAGAGCTAACTGACCATTTTGGCTGGGCTTCTTGATGTTTCTGGGAAATGCAAATATATATTAAAGTAATAAAATAAAAATAGCGCATTCCTTGCTTCAAAAAACAACTTTCCAAGCGCAGGCAGAACCCAAAATCCTGGATTCAGCTGAACATTTTGCTAAAAAGTGATTTTTGTTTTCTATAAACATGTGACAGAATGTAATTTGGAGATTCCTGAGGCTTTGTAACACAATCACCTTAGATTACATCTCTCAGCAGTCTGGGAGAGGTCAAAGCTGCTCCTTCCTTAAGATAAAGTAAAATCAAAGGTTACTTTACTTTAAAACTGAACTTCTTGATAGATCAAAACAAAAACAAATACTAGTCCAGACAAAAAGATCTCTGCTTGTTTACCTCAGAAGGAAATTTGTTCTGTGTCCAATATTAAAAGTAATGGGATACAAAAAGCAGGAGAAACACAGCAAATTCAGCGGGACAATTATTAGCAGAGTAATTATCCAAAGCTGGTCAAAGGTGAACTCAAACTAAAATAAGCCAAGTGTGGCCATCATAGCTGAAAAAATCCTTTTTGGACAACTTCCTCCTGCTCCTAAGAGAGACTTCAATGATTTTATGGGAGAATTAGACTGGATTTGCTACCAACAAAACACACCCTGACCCCATAACTGCACCCTACTGTGACAGCAGCATAGACCAGGCCAAAAAATTAACAAACTTCCTAAGGTATGCAAAGAAACTGCTAGGAAGGCAGCCATGAAAAAAAGAAGTTTTACTGAGTTCACGTAAAAAGTGAATTCATTAAAATTTAGGAAACTGCAAATACAAAATACATTTTGAACACAAAGTAAGAATATACCATCTCCACAAGCATCTCATGGGTCTTCCTCAGCTTTCAAGAGGATATTAATCAAAGCAGCATATATATACTAAATCATTATGTAAGAGGTTGTCATTTACAGTGAGAAAAACTTTACTAAGTGAACAGCACTTGCTGCCATAAGCTTTGTATCTGTGCAGAATCTCACTTAGGCTGCCACAAAGTCAAGTTCAAATTCTCTACCCAAAACTCACAGTACTAGTTTGAAATAACAGGTTCATTGCAAAAAAAAAAAAAAAAAAAACAAAATAAATAAAGCAAAAGGCAAAAGAAACTCTGAAGTGGCAGCAGCAAACATACGATTTTGGGGAGAAAAAAAATAGTGAACATGACAGATGAGCTCTATCCCTTCAAACTAAGTAGGGCACAAGGCAACTAATTTAAGTGGTGAGAAACTCACTGGCAGAGTCTCTAAACAAGTGGTTCATGAACATTCAGTGTTGGTGTTTTGATAACTGCACTGGTGAACACAAGCTTCCTTAATGTTTAGAAACAGAAAGTTTGTTTTTCACAACCTTTTCCTACTGCATGTGGAAAAGGTTCCCTTACAGTGAAAATGCAATAGAAGGAGAAGGGATGGAGTCCCTTTGCTTCCTAGGAGCTGGATGGATCTCACACTGCCATACAGCTGCATGGCAGGACCAAACCCAGAGCAGAAACTGCTGCACCTTTTGTCAAACAAGAGGGAAAACCTGCAAGCACTGAAGCACAGGGACTTGGCAGATCTCCTCCCACCACACCAACAGCAGAGAGCACTGCTCACTCAGCTACAATGAGACCCTCTCTGTTCAGCACTCTTTCCTCAGCACTGGGTTTAATCTTCATCATCCAGGCAGTGAAACCAGCAAGGAAAGGTTCCTCAGAAATACTCATGTCACTCAATGGCAGAAATCAGAAACACAGTTTCACTGTCAGGTTAGGAGGTGTTAGAGGTCTTGGACTCAGCTGGACAAAGCTATGAAGGATCCAAGTCCTGCTTCACATCAGAGGTGGCCAAGTGACCAATGCCTCCAGAGGTACCTCTCCAATAAATGGCTCTGTGAGTGTGGGTCAGCATGTGAGCAGCTCAAGAAAGAAAAATCAAGACTGCTGCTGCTCAAGAACTGCACTGAGGTCAAGCTAAAGCAAGGAAACAGCCAGAGCTGAGAGCAGCAGGAAGTCACAGCACTGCAGCAGATACTCCAGATAAACACGGGACGAAAAAGCAAAAAATGAAAGAGCAAAAACACCATTCCAAAACCCAAATGGACAAACTGAGTGAGCCACAAAGCCAGTTACAAAGTGAAACTCAGTGTCAAAGTGACTCCTAGTCCAGAGCTTTCCTGTGGCAGTTATTTTGCACATCTCCAGCCTGGTTCTGGTGACAGTTTCAGAGAAGCCTCCCTCAAGCAGCAGTGCTGACGTGAGCAGATGCACAGGGACAGAGGAACTGCAGAGGAGAGCACGTGGCCCAGCACACAGCAAGTGCATGGCTGTGCCCCCCTCCTCTGCAAGCACAAAGGACTTGGGCATGACAGGAGAGCCTCAGGGCTGGTTTTCAATATCTCAGTGTACCAACAGGAAAAACTAAATTAAAAAAAAAAAGTTTAACTTCAGTATAAATATGCTGAAGTTATTGCAAGTGAAATTTCAACAACATCTAACTGATCTGAAAGGCTTGGCTGGAATGTGGGAATTGCCTTGGTGGAGTATTTGTAACAAAACAGCCTTTCCTACCTGAGCTTCACACCCAAATCCAGACTTATTTAAATAATCTTACTATGACTAACAGCAAATGCCCACACAAGACTGAGATAGAATCACTCCTCTTTCAACAGAAACCAGGGTAGAGGACTTTTTTAAACTGAAGACAAGGGTGTCCACCACTGCATGGCTCTAATGCCATGCACAGAAGACCTCTCCAAACACCTCAGAAACAGCACCCTGACATTGTTACTGGCACTAAGATGGGAAACTGAGGCCCAGAGATGGAAATGAACTGCTACAGCCTCGTGGTGAAGGGAGAGCGGCCTGACACCTGACACCTTCTGCCCACTGCCTTCATCATGAATGCAGAACACCCAAACCTCGAGGAGGAGCCCAGCCCGAGCAGCTGAGCACACTGCTCTGTCCCTGCCCAC